AAAAAGAGGAGTGGGGGTGGGGGGTAGGGGGATGATTTGCCTCGGGCCCCTAATTGCATTTACTTCACCTGCTTAATGCAGTTTTAGGGATTATTAATCATCATTATCTTACCGAGATTAGAGTTTTGTCAATTGGGTCCGCCGCCGAACTACCTTTTTCTTCTTCCTGAATCATGCTCGTTTTTCTTATTGCTCCTCTGTCTTTTATTGCATAGCTATGGTCACTTTCAAATTTGTGAAAATTATTTAAATTTTGAGCATTAATGATTGTTCGTCTTATTTTTAAAAAAATTAAGAAGAAAAAATATAAAAAATATCTTAATACATGCTTTAAAAATAAAATATTTTAATTTTTTTAAAAAATAATTATTAATTATTAATTATAATTACTACTTAATAATTAATATTTATTATTCAATAACTTAAAATTAATTTATAAATTAAAATTCTTAAATATATAATTAATTTTTTTGAAGATTATAATTAATTAATTAAAAATTACTATAAACTAATAAAATTAATTAAATTAAATATACTAAAAAGGTTTTGTGTGGGACGCCATAATAATTTGTGGTGCAGTTATAAGGAAGCCCGTTTTTCTTTTTAACACTATTCCCAATCAATTAGTCAAATGATACTCTCGCTCAATTTGAGGAGGAGATGAGTTTCAAATGTTCAATGCTTGTATCATGATTCCCACTAGAAAACCACTAGGAAAATCTAGGGATTCACAGCCAAGAAAATATTTTTGTAGAAATTTAAAATTAATCAATCAATGATTTAATACCCACCTCCTCTTCTTTATATTTATTGAAGACAATAATAACAATAATGATAATAATAATTACATTTATATCATCATTAGTCAACTTGTCCGTCACAAAATGATAAAAATTGCTTTTATTTTTATTACCAACAATGATTTTTCTAAGGGTTGATTAATCAAATCATAAAACTTTTAAATGGTTATATCAACGTTACCGGTGAATAGATTGACATCTGCATGAATTTGACCCCTTACTTCAAAAATGTTACATATATGGTAATAATGTTATATTATATTTTAAATTTATAATATAATAGATTATTATATAAAATTAATATATATA